AAAAGGCAAATTCGTTTCCCTCACCCTGACTCTAGGAGTTCATTTAAAATACAAAAATTGCAAGAAAATCCCCACCCCTCAATCTCTCTTACCTTTCAAAAAACTTTAAATCAGTTAGGAAAGGAAATCTTTAATAAATAGAATCTAAAAGTTGTTGAGTTACCTGCACTTATTAAGTGTTTAATTTAATTTTTCATTTATATTAAGAATGTCTACATTATTAAATATAATTCCATCTGATCCAAGGTTGCTAAATTTTCAAATGAAAAAATCTGAACAGATGGGATTCAGGAAAATCTAAGAATTCATTTATAATGGGGGCTAACACATAGTAGTTCATTCATTCATTTTAAAGCTGCTTCTTATATTCTTAGATGAACGGCAAAGAATGAGTACAATATTGCATATAAAAAGGAAGTGACTGGTGCATAACTTAATACGTTGTATTAAGTATGATTCAGAATATAATAAGGACAAAAAATTGGCACTACACTGAGGTACTCTGCCTAAGGTTTACAATATAGCAGCTTCATCATTTCGTCAAAAGCATTGCAATCACTTCTGCAAAATTAACTGCAATTAATTCCTGGTAACTCTTGGAATTAAGCCTAGACTTCCTTACTCACTTTTTGAATTTTATCAGCGCTTTCTCTGGTGTTCACAAACTGAGAACTTAACATTCTATTGAATAAGGACCAAGATAAGGAATCTACAAAACAGCAAGAATATAAACAAGTTTATCTTCTGCTGTTACTCATTTGGGAAGTTAATCTCTCCCAGAACACTGGAAAGACTTAACAGTAAAGCCGTTCTGCTAACCACAACTCTTACAATAAATCTTCAATTCTTTAAAATGATTTCCTCAAAAGTTAAAATACCAAAGTGAGCAAAATTGTGTGCAGGGGGCCGGGGGGGGCGGGTCGCTCTTAATGCTATTGGTTCGACTCACAATTCTTAATCCTTCTACGTACCTCTCAGACTCAAACTTTAAGGTGTTTCATTCAACTTGCATTAATTTCTAACAGAATGGTTATTTACTTCGGACAGACCCTGAAGGTTTTCCTTTAAAACACTTCAATTTCAGGAAAACGAGACAGAGTTCTAAAACATTTACAACATTTTAGTGCTGCATTGAATTTGCTATGATCATATACTTATTTCAATCTCATTAAAATTGCTTGCCTAAATTTAACCAACTGCTACATTTTCACTAAGGTATTTTCAAGAATGAATGAGGCATATATTCATTTGTAATGTCTGCGCTCTCGTGACAGGTTATACGATCCCAAGTATCCAATTCTGAAGTCCTCCTTTAATGTAGCTATTTCTTTAAAATCCCGTTACTCTGACTCTCAGTCCAGGCAAGGTTTTCAAGATGATTAAAACAAAACGAAACAAAACCTGCACGTGCAAACTAAAAAGTTAGCATCTTAATGCCATCGCGGCAAACCCCTAATGCACAAAGGCAAAGACTCCCAACCGCGGCTCGGACACCCGCAGGACAAGACCGCACCGGACCACGCGAGCCTCTCGGTTGGGAACTCAGGGCCCGGAGCCCACAGAGAAGCCAGGACCCGTTCGCAGGGTCCGCCCGGCGCCGAGTTTTCAATGGAACCCGAGAGGATGGCGGCGGGAAGGAGCGGAAGCTCCGGGTGCAAACCGCGGCGACCGAGCTGCGGTTCAGTTCCCGTCCCGGGGTTTTCAGGCTGGGTAAAGTCCCCTCCGGAGGGGGCCACAGAGCAGGCCGGGTTTTTGAGGCGGGTAGGGTGGGCGGCGCAAGGCTCCTGCGGCCGGGGGTAGGGAGAGCAGGGCTCAGACCCCGGCCCCTGAAAACACTTTCGAGGCGTCTCCCACCCCCCACGACAAGATGGCGACGTGGACATGGGGGAGCCCGGACGGCGAGGTTGGGGGAAAAAGAGGGGAGGGGACAAGAGGCAGAAACAAAAAGGCCGGCCCCCCAGGAAGGCCGAGGCCGGCCCTCGAGCCCCGGGCGGGCCGGCGGGCGGGGGCGCGGGCGGCCGAAGGAATGGGCTTACTTTTTCTTGTCGTTCGCGCCGCCGGCGCCCTCCATGGCGAATGGGACCGCGCGATGCCTTCACGGCCGGCGGCCTCCAGGCTCGCTCCGGCCTAAGCGCTGGCTCCCTCCACACGCGGAGAGAGGAGGGGGGCAAATCCAGAGGTGGGGGGTGCGAGGCGGGAAACCCCGCGTGGGACCAGAGGCCGGAGGAGTGGGCGGCAATCGCAGGGGTCCGGATCCGGCTCAGAGGCTCTCCTCAGGCTGCTTGTCAGGGTCCGGCGCGACGCCCTGGACAACGCGACAGCGACGGCGATGCTCGCGTCCCCTCAGACAAGACGGCTCTGTGCACTGAGGAGCTGAGGCAGCGGCAGGGGGCGGGTAAGGGCGGAAGCGCGCTCGGGCGCGCGGGGAGGGGAGAAGAGGGGTGGGAGTGCTCCCGCCCGCCCAGCCCGGAGCGCGCTCCCGCAAGCCCGCCTCACCTGAGGGGGAGGCGGGTTCCCTGAGAGCCAATGGCGAACGACTCAGGCAGCCAGTCCCCACCCCAGCCGCTCCGCTCTCAGCCAATCAGAAGGCGGTCAGCTGAGGCACAGCTGGGCCGCGCTGCCGCCCTCACGTGCTCGTCTGTGTGTAACTGTGCAGGGGAGAGAAAGGAGCTGGGGGTGCGCCTGGGCCCTGTTGAGACTCTGCGCCTCTCCTAGGGAAGGCGGTGGCTGGCTTTGGGAGGCGCTGCTGAGAAGGGATCGGTTGCCTGGTCTCCAGTCTGCATCCTATTTTCCTGCTCTCGGTGCAGTAATATGAGTCTCCCGCTCTCTTTTTCCTCGGTGGCAGTAATGGGCAGGGTTACCGCCCAGCTCTGCTGAGTTCCCAGTTCAAAAACGCAGGCTTTGCTTCGTGGCAGCAAGCCCTTTGGTCTCTGCTTACATACGTTGCAACTGAGTCTTTCCTTGCCAGGTTACCAAATCACGGGTCGCTGTCACCGACAGCACTCTGCCTTGGAACACAAGGGAACTCTCCTTGCCCACTAAGTTTTCTGTGGCGAAGTTTGATTGCTAAGTAAATGCAAATAAAAACATAAAACAAACTCTTCTTGCTGTAAACCTCTCAACGGAAGTAAACTTGCAGGAAACTCAAAATCCTAAATAATTTTAAGCATTTACAAATAGGTATAAATGGCTTTAGTGAATAAGAACATAAATCTGAGTTTCAGGGAAAGAGTGGGAAAAAAATGGCTTTAGGTAGACTTATGCTTTCTAGCCGCTTTTAAAGGAGCCAGAGATAATCTTAGATGGACTAGGAAAAGGGGGAAACCACCCTTAGTTTGAGACTTAATGTCTTGAGTGGAGTTCATTGTATAGACTAGGGAGAGGGAATTCTCTCCAAACCTTCACTGAGACCCGAATGGTGGCGGCCGGTATTGCCTGTTTGCTGACATGATTTTGCAAGTTACTGAAAAAACGTAATCACTTTTTGTCTTTGAGAGAGTAAATTTCAAGCCTGTCAGTAGTAAGACTAATAGTAATTAATATATTTTGAGCTCAACAAAGGATCATTCCACATATATTTTTCTACTTGACAGTAGATTATTTTACTTCTCACCTTTACCTTATTAGTATATTGTTATAATCTACCTTTGGGTTGTATAGTAATTAGTGTGGATATCTGTAGTGGACTTTATACTGGTGTGCAAAAACAATGGTCTGTATAATACAGCATTAAACTCTAATAAAGACAGCAACCGATGAGCACAACTCCTCTTTTTAACTTTTCAGTAGGCCCATAAAGATATTGTTAAAGATTGATCATATAGCAACTTTTGTGTTTCATATCTTCAACACTAAAAGGTATGTATTCTTGAAAAGAACCGTGAGAAATGCCTGAAAAGAGAAAAGGACCCAAAATACTCATGTTTTCTTTTTTTTTAATTGTGGAAAAAATAACTGTAAATTACAAACCTTTCAGTTTAATATTCTGAAAATGCAGTGTTAAGAACACTGGCTCCAGAATCAAGAGTGAGCTTAAATATCGGCTTTGATACTTATTAGCAAATAATTTAACCTCTCTGAGCCTCAGTTTACTTATTTGTAAAATGAGCATAATAGTGTCTATGCCACAGAATTAAAAATTATTTTAAAAATTTTTTGAATCATTTCGAAAGTTTTAATCAGAATAATTCAATCAACAAAAAATATTTTTGAATATTCATTAAATTTGCCCCAAAGTTCAGTTTTCCTTTCAAAAATGTATAAAGTATGATATTTTATGTGTATATGTATACATGTGCATACATATATACAGATATGAACACGAAAAGCAGTAATATTCAAACAGACTAGTTTCCACATAATTTCAAAGGAACCAAATAGTATCCCTAATTCAAGCAATCCTGTTAAATTATAGAATCCTAAAAAGCAAAATTTTCTATGAGATAAAATTTTAACTCACCTTCTTTACAACCACTTGTTAATAAATGAATTTGGGTTATTACTGTATAAGTATATCTTAATAAACAGTATTTTAAAAAAATTTTTTTTTCACATTCTAAGATGTAGAGCAGTTGAGAGAAGGGGGAGGGAGAAAGTGGGAAGAGGAGGAAGGGGGCATGGTTGAGGCCGGTGGCACTCCCCTCAAGCAGGGGAGCCGGGGCACTTCCTCCAGGAACTCATGGCCGTGGCCAGGCTGGATATGGATATTGGGGGGGATGGCTGAGGCCCTTGGACCCCTACGACCTCAGCTCAGGGGCCTGGGACGCTTCCAGCAGTGGTTCGGTGGCCATGACTGGGCTGGATGTGGATGTCAGGGGTGTGTGGCTGAGGCCCTCACCCCCCCTCACTCCTTGGGAACCCAGGGGACTTCCGGTTCTTCTAGGTTTTACACGTCTTCTGTGGTGGTGTTAGACCTTTACTGGTTAATGTCAGAACTTTTTCTCTGATATGTGAGGGTTTTGTTTTTTCTTTCAGTTCTGTGTTGGATTTGTTCGCTATTTTCACCTATTAAACTTTGCACTCCAACTAGTTTGTTGTCCTTTGGTTTCTTCTAAAATGGGGGGACTTCCTATGGAAACCAGCACTTGAGCCCTGTGGTTGAGCCAAATTGCTGCTTTGCTGCTGATTCTCTGGAGAAGGCTTTTTGTGCAGTTCAGGTTTTAATTGTTGATGTTGTAAGCATTTCTGAGTCTTGTGAAATCTGGTATACCTGGGTTGTGTGGAAACTCTGGTCTGGGCCTGAGTCTTTTCAGCAAACTCTACCCCCTGCAGTTCTGTATTCCTGACCAGTCTCCACTGAGTGGTCCTGTGCTGATTGAAGGGCAGATTGGCTGTCCATGCTATGCCCCAATGTTCCTCTGGTGGGCCTGTCTCCCCCACCCCATATACTCCAAACGTTTTCCGTGGGATGGGCCATGAGCTGGTCCCTTGCAATGACTCACCCGCCTCTGCGTGGCTCCAGCAGTATTCCTGACCAGTCTCCACTGAGTGGTCCTGTGCTGATTTGGGGGGCAGATCAGCTGTCCATGCTGTGCCCCAATGTTCTCCTGGTGGGCCCGTCTCCCCACTTCCACTGCACTCCAAACACTGCATGCACTGGTCCTTTGCAATGACTCATGGCCTCTGAGTGGCTCCTTTCATCAGTTGTCTGTGTCCCCTCACTCCTATGTGGGTCCACGTGAACCCTGTTAGTCGTCTTGCTGGCCTGGGGGCAACCAAGGCCCTCCTCTCCCCCGCTACCTCCAAGCAACTTCATACGAAGGGCACAGCTGAGGCTTTTGGCAGCTCCTGGTCTGTGCACTCACCAGGGCCAGCCTTGAAGTGGCCAGGGCTCAAAATGGTCGGAGTGGTCCTTTCTTTCTCTCATCATGGCCTCTCCCGTCTTCATGCACTCTGTAGGTCTCTCCTCCTTTTACCCCTGAGCTCTAGCAGCCCCAGCTTGGCTGTCATTGCTTTTTAATAGTTGTAAATTGATTGATTTTGATATGGTGATGCTGGGTACCATCTATTCTGCCATCTTGATCGGAAGTCCCAATAAACAGTTTTATTTAATCACTTTCTAATCTTTTAAGTGTCCAAGGTTCATTCCAAATAGCTTTGTAAAACTTTCTAAGTAGACTACAAAATTACTTCAGGTGACTCACTTGACCCTTAATGGTTAATAGGAAATTGGGCAGTGATTCAGAAGAAGACAAAGTAAAACTTGAAATTCTGATTACTACTAAATAATAGAGCACTGAGGCTTTTAAAACTAAAACATATCAGATGCACACAATTTGAAGTGTATCAAACTGTATAAGAAGACCTACTGTTCAATAAGTGATTCTTAGCCTATTATTGCCCTTAGTTGGTTTTTTTCCTTCTTTAATCTATTCATAATAATAACAACAAAAAAGTGTACCATTTGGGGGAAAAAGTGCTTAAAAGATAATAGGCATTAAAAATCTTTTTCTTTTCCTCTTATGAATCAAAACAGGACATAAATATTTATATTTGCCTGAATTTATGGAAAATATGAATAGACTGAAAATTTGACACTAGCACTTTTCAATTATGATAGATATTTTTAGCATGAATTTACAAAGGAATGTTGAGGGACTTCCAGTCTCCTGTCCAACATGTAAAGAGCTTGGAAGTTGTCACTCTCATCCTCACAACAACAAAAAAAAGCTAAACTAACTGAAAATCTACAATTCTTCTTAGATCCATCAGAGGATTGAGGTCAGAGGAAAAACTGCTGCCCGGAAAACTGGAGAGACAGGATACAGAGAATGACTGCTTACCAAAGGATCACAATTTACCAGGAGCAGAAGCCAGCAGCTGAAGCCAATATTACAGCCAGAGCCAGCTTCAGTATAGTACAGTATAAATTATTTTATACTGTAATTGAGGAATTGCTGGAGGCTCAGACTAGCTTGAGAGTTAAAAGTTCCAAGAAGGCTCAGCCTCATGGGACCCCAACACTTTCCTGAGGTTACCTCAGGGAACTCTACCAGGTTCTCTCTGTGAAGATCTGACAAAAAACTCCTCTTGCTTTTGGCAAGAGGAAGAGGAACATAACCACTCTGAATTATAGTCATATGCTGCATAATGACATTTAAATCAACAACAGACTGCATGCATGCTCGTGGTCAGAGCAATAGGCTATACCATATAGCCTAGGTGTGTAGTAGGCTATACCATCTAGGTTTCTATAAGAACAATCTTATATGTTCTTGCTGTGACAAAATCATCTAATGAAGCATTTCTCAGAATGTATCTCCCTCATTAAGTGATGCATGGCCATAGTTTCAGAGCTCTTTATACTTCTTAATGAGGTCTGCTCTCAAGGAAAACTATTTTATCAGAGCCTAACTAATGGGACT